ACATTCTTTTTGAGGAAATATTGAATAAAAATAGAAAGATCACGTGAAAAATCACAGTGTAAACTGTAAAGGGGTCGGTGTAAGACGTAAACAATCATCGAACGAATTTTGGTAATATAGATGGGGTGTGTTTTCGTAATTTAGTCTAACTCTATGGGTTTTTTCGTAATTACCTTAATTTTATATGAAAAAATAACTATTTTTCTGACTAATACAAAAAAAGTGGCAAAATGATTTTTACCTAACAAGAATCTCTAGCATTAAAAGAAATGATTTATTTTCTGAGTAAACGTGCTTCTCAAGGTGAAAAAGTTAAGGGCAAGAGTTGGCTTGTGGTGGTAGGCATAAAAATTAAAAAATAATAAATAAATAATGCAATTTAATTTTGGGTTCAGAGTTCACTTTTTTGGTTGTGGGGGCATGAAATTAAATATTCTTTGAGTAGCCGTTTGTGTAAAATTAAATGAATTTGGGGCAGAATGAAATATTAAGGTAAATTGGATGAGCTAGGTTTTAGGCCCTGTCGGTTCATTTATTACAGTGCTGCCTCCAATGCGACAGCGTTTGGCCCATCTTCTGTATTTGCATTTGACTCCCTTACTTGCTCTCTTGGTACAACACTTCATTACTAATACTGCCCCAACGCCAACAATTAAAGCCAAAATTAAATAAATAAATAATGGATAATTATTTAATAAAAATAGACGAAAATATAGCAAATAAATAAATAAATAATGGATAATAATTTAATAAAAATAGACGAAAATTAAGCAGTGGAAAAGTAAATAATTAAAAATACAAAGTGGAAATTGCGAAAGTGATTTTAAAGATAAGCCATAATAGGATAAATTACGAAACAAACCCCTCTTATTTGGATAATTACAACTATTCCTCAAATATGAATCTTCTTATACTTATTGTGTCGAATTCAACAATTTTTCTAGATATCGTTGAATGTTCTCCAATTTTTACTTGTTTTGTTTGAAAATACAATTTTTGATGCACCACAATCTGATATTTACAAGCCAAGAGAAACATTTTATTATGGTTATTTTGTTTCAAAATGTGAAACTCGAATATGGTAAAACGTGTACAAACTGAATAATATTCCACACACTCTAGAAGATTCCAGTAAATTTGACACAAGATGGATAAACGTATAAGAAGATTCATAATTGAGATAATTGACGAGTGATTGTAATTATCCAAACATGCATAATGATATTTTTTGTAATTTAACATTACCTCGTAGAATACCGGAATTTAGTCATTAATTAATTAATAAGTTAATTAATGGAGACAGAAGAAACAATTTTTTCCATCTTTTCAGCTTACTAAAAGGCAAAACCCATTTCCAGGTAAAACTTTTCTCCAAATAATCATTTTTAAATGAGAAAAAAGGGAAAAATAAAAGGAAAAAGAAATAGAAATATAATGATTTAATCTCGATGAATCATACGAGCATCTTATTGTAAAGCCAAAAAAGTGATTTTTAAGTGGGAATTAATTGACACCAATCTCTATCAAAGCAGACAAACTAAATGCTTTTTTTTTTTCAGATTATAATAATATTGTTTAATAATTCAAGTGGTTTATGGGGCAATTTTTTTTTTGGTGTGGTTTTGATTTGGGGTTTTTAAAATGGTGTTGTTTGAGTAGGAGTTAGCAAATTGGGGTTGGCCGCCATCGACAACGGCGGCACCGGCCGGAGACGCCACTGCCAACGGCGGCACCGGGAGGAGACGCCGCCACCGGTGGCGTCTTCTAATATTTTAATATTTTAATATTTTAATATTATAATATTATAATATTTTCTGGAGGAGACGCCGCCACAGGTGGCGTCTTCTCTCTTTTTTTAATTATTTATTTTAATATTTTAATATTTTAATATTTTAATATTATAATATTATCCGGAAAGATAACGCTTCG